AGATGATCCCCATGTTCTGTCAAGTCAGCCTCCCGACTCAAATCTCTTCTTTTCCACCCCTTCAGTGCCCCCTGCCCTGCTCTGGCCTTCATCCTCTTCTGCCCAGGTTCCTGCCCTAGCCTCCAGTCCTGCCCCTCCAGAGGGATTTCTAAAGCACACCTAACCTTGTCCTTTCCGTACTCAGAACCAGTCATGGCTCCCCAGAGTCCCCAGCAGGAAGCTCAGGCTCCTTCCTGCAGCTTCACCAAAACTAACTCCTCCTGCCTCCTACATTCCCACTCCAGCCCCACTCCCTAGCTCAGTGCCAGGCCTTTGGGCCTTTGCCATCTGCTCTTCCTGCCTGGAGCTCCCTCTTGCCTCCTCCGGGCAGCCACTCTGAAACATTTCTTGAGTCAGTTTCATCTCTCCAGCCTGGCCAGCAGCATCACCACCTTTCACCTGTCCGCTATTCTAGTCTCCTTCCTGGTCTCAAGTCTGACCCTTGCATCCAATCTCCAGAAGGCAGCTGGGGGATCTTTTTCAAATACTAATCAGACCATTATGCTCAGCTCTTAAAATATTCCATGGCTCCCTACCACTCCAGGATGACATCCATTCTCCATGACCCGGCTTCAGGGCTCTACCTTCCCATCTCTCACCAGTCCCACCTCCTCCTTGTCACCCCAGCCCCATCAAATTTTCCCACTCTTCTGTGCTCCCACTGAAGGCCAATTCTCCCCTAGGGCTCTAGATTCATTCCACTCCCCACCCCCTTCTCCAGGGCTTTGTTGCTGAAAGTCTCCCCTCTCTCCAATATGATTGATTCTCCCTCACATGCACCAACTCCAGTCTCTTCCATCCCTAAAAAAAGCAGCTTCCTCTCCCATTTCTCCACTCCGCTTCAGAACCAAAATACTCAAAACACTGTCAACATTTGCTGCCTCCACTTCCACACCTCCTCTTCACTCTTCAGTGCCCTCCTAGCTGGCCACCACCCCCATCATTCCCCAGACTACCATTAACATTCATGGAGCCAAATCCAATGGTCATGATCCGTGCTCACCTTGGTAGCACCTGACCCAGGGCACAGCCCACTCCTTCTGGAAGCACTCTCTTCTCTCATCTTTCCTGACACCTTTCCTGACTTTCTTTCTACTTCGCTGACCACCCCCTCCTCTGCCTTTTCCTCTTCGGTTCTAAACATTAGACTCCCTCAAGGTTCCATCCTAGACCCCTTCTCTTTCTAGATGACCTCATCCATTCCCAGTGTGTTCTATTCCATCCATAGGCAATCATGCCCCAATTCCTCTCCTCAGATCTCCACACTGGCCTATCCATCCACTCAAAGTCTCCTCTTGGATGGCTGAGTAAAATCCAAACTAGTCCTTGCAATGACTTATGAAACCCTACATGATCTGGCTCCTGCCCTAACCTCATTTGTATCAGTCTCCCCGCTAACCTGCAAAAGTTCAGGTCCACCAGTCTCCTTTCATTTCCTACCTCAGGGTCTTTGCACATGAGGCTCCACCCTCCTGGAGCACTCCTCCCCAATTCTTCTGCTCAACATTTAAGTGCCTTCTCCTCTGTAAGGTCCACCCTGATCACCTACCTAATGTAGCTCCAACCCCTGCAACGCTTATTGTCTACTTCACACTCGGTTGGTGCTTTTTCCCCCCAAAGCACTCATCACAACTTCTAAGTATTTTATTAATTTGTGTACTCACTGTTTGATTCTCCTGCTAAATTACAAGCTGTATAAGGGCAGGGCTGCATCTATCTCATTCGCTGCTACATCCCCAGACTCTAGCACAGTTCTTAGCACACAGCAGGTGCTCAGCAAACATGCTGAATGAATGAATGAGCCCTCACACCTTTCTCTTTCTCAAGAACCTAAATCATACTATTCTTGGGATTCCCCCACCTCTACTCCCAGGGCCGCCCACACATCTCTTTTGCTAGTGTAGCCCCATGTCTCCTACTTCCTTGCCCTCCATTCAAATGATCTACTCCTCACCCCCACGATTACCTACTCTATTGAGACTGTCCCCTCTAACCCCCACTTAATGCCACCCACCCCAGGTCTCCCCACTGGACAGCGCCATCACTCCCCTACCTCATGTCAAAACTTGGTAGCGCCCTCTTCAGGCCTTACCATGAACTAGCACCTCTCGGGGTCTCACATTTGGTAGAGCCCTCATTCCCCTCCCCCCTCCCGCCCCACACATGGTAGCGTCCTTCTCAGTCTCCCCAGTTAGTAGCATCCGCTCCGACCGCCACTTTGAGGTATCACCTTTTCTCTCAGAAGCCGCCCCTGTCGCCCCTGGGCAGCGCCATCCTGGGCTTCCCCGGGCCTCCCCACGCCTGGTCACTTGGTACTGCCGGGCCCGCGCCCAGGCTGCAGCTCCGCGTTGCCATGGTTCCGCGCGGGCCCGGCGCCCCTCGACCTGGGCAGCTGTCCAGCCCCCTCGCCCCCTCCGGGCCGGGCGCACCTTTGAAGTAATCGTTGGCCTGCGTCTTAAGCTCCTCTGCCCGCTTCAGAGAGGAATCAGCCGGGGGTTCCTCTTGGGGGGGCTCAGCACACTCAGCCCGGTCGCCCTCCGCCATCGCCATGCCGCAAAGCGACCCCCACCCTGGCAACGGCCGCCAGCGGCACCCGGCCTAAACGTCGCGAAGGTGTGCCGAGTTACAGTTGCCGCTGCTGCACAAGTGTCGTAAAGCGCGGGTCCCGAAGGCTTCCTTCACGCGCCTGCGCAGGTCTCTTCGCCATAGAGCTCGTGGAGGACAAGGTGACCAGAGGGCCCTCAGACCCCTTCCTAGAATGAGCCAATGGGGAAGGCGAAAAGGGGCGCGCGGGCAAAAAAGGCCCGGCGTGGCCCCTGCTCCCAAAGTTGCCAGGTTCCGAGACCGAAGATTCTCCGGGCTTAAAGAGGGATTTACCTGCTGTCTTCTGGGGCTGGTGGGTGATGTCGCTGGTACGTGTGGCTCTTATGCAAGGCAGCACCAAGCCCAGCGCGGAACCCGAGCTGGGAGTCTAGCCCTACGGGCAATTACCTGTATGACCTTGAGCATATCTTCCTCCTCTCTCTGAAAATTTGGTGGTTTCTCAAACTAGAATAAAGTTCCAACCTTCAGGGTCAGTGTTTCTAACTTATTAACTGAAGGCCCCCCGGAACCCCTTGCCCTGAACAAGGCACCAACCCCTTTATTCCTCATCCTCCCACTCCCCAGCCTTCCATAGCTCCTCATGCCTTTAGGAGAAAAATCCAAGGACTTTCTGGCGACCTAAGAGACCCTGAATAGTCTAGCTTCACCCAACATGTCCAGATACCATCCCCAGACATGGTACACACCTCCAGACCATGCTTTCCAAGTCTTCAACCGCTACTCATGTGGAACTGTGGCATTAAATTCTTTAGGGTTCTGCTCTGGCTCCCTCCTGAAAGCACAAGCCACCCCACCTTCAAATCTTGTGACAGTCTGACGCACACTCTCCCCACCAACCACAGCCAACAGTCACCCTAGAAGATACTAGTATCATCTCCATTTTACAAATGACACAGATTTGCAGAGGTCAATGTCCTTGCCCAAGGTTATACAAGAAAGTGGCAGAGCCAGGACTTGAGCCTGTCCCACCTAATTCCTAGGCTTTTTTTTTTTTTTTTAAACATATCTTTATTGATTTCAGAGAGAGGAAGGGAGAGGGAGAGAGAGATAGAAACATCAATGATGAGCTGTCATTGATCAGCTGCTTCCTGCATGCCCCCAATTGGGAATCCAGCCCGAAACCCCCCATGTGCCCTGATTGGGAATTGAACAGTGATCTGCTGGATCCTAGGTCGATGCTCAACCGCTGAGCCACGCCCGACCGGGCCCTGGGCTCTTAATTCTTACTCTACTGTCTCTGTGTGCTCCAGAGCCCACCTTGTGGGGTAGATTTTTGAGATTATTTTGGTGTGTGTGTTGGGGAAGGCTGCTATGATGGATTTGAATTCTGGATTCAAGTCCAGCTCAGCCCTTTCCTGTGTTATGACCTTGGGCAAGTTATCACCATCTTTGAACCTCAGCTTTATCCTCTGTGAAATGGAGATAATAATCATGCCTATTACATAGATAGGATTAGAGGAAAGTTTGATAAGGTCACATGAGTAAAATGTTTGGCAGAGGGCCTGACACAGTCTACTTTTTACATTCACTCCATTATAAATACTCAGAGTGAGACAGAGTAGCTAGAGCTGTGATGGGGATGGGAGGACTCTCAGGCTGTGGGAAGATCTCACTCAGCTGGGGCAAGCAGGAAAGACTCTCTGGAGGAGGAGATGTCTGAACCTACATCTGAAATATGAGTAGGAGCTAAACAAGTGAAGAGAGGGAAAAAGAGAGAAAGACATTTAAGGCAGAGGGAGCAGCAAATGCCAAGCCTTGAAAGTGGTTTTTGTCCTTTAAAAAGATTTCTTTGTGGAACACGGGGGACCAGTTATGAGGGTGATACACAGAGACATGACAGAAGAGGCACAGCCATCAGCACATGAATCTGTAGATGTTCTCCCTCTCTATCTCTCTCCCTCTCTCTCACACACACATACAAGTACAGAGAATAATGTTACAGACATCAGTGCATAAAATTATAGTATCAAAGTTCTATGCATGTATACAGAATCTCAACACCACACAGACACACACAAGAACCAAACAATAAACAAAAACCAAACACACCACAATACCTCACACACTCAGGAACACAAACCCAAAGTAACTAGAAACACACATTAGGCAGAAGCATGTCACTCAGATACTAACATACACATGTAGAAGGAATTAAAACCCCCACCCCAGGTTCATAGAGTTATGTCACAAAGACACACATATACACAGAATGATACCACCAGACACACGTTACATAGACCTACATAGGAACATGGAGTCACATACATACACATAGAATCACAAAGTGACAAGGAAACGTGTCACCCAGTGCACCCACACTCCCTGAAGCAACCCCACAGATGAGTCAACACACAAAGTTCTGGTGCCTACCAAGGCAAGGTCTTTATGGTGGTATAGAGATTAGTGGGTTTCAGAGCCAGCCAGCATGGCTGGTCCAGTCCCTTCCCATCCCCCACCCTAGCACAATTTTCTTTATTGAGAGCCCAGGTCAACCCCTGAGGGAAGGAGGAGTGAGACCCTTTTCCCCCTGTAGCACCAATCTGGACAGGCAATTCCCTGAAAACACAGTGAAAAGTGCCCTTCAGAAAGGAGGTGAATTGGGCTGAGAGAGAAAGGCCTTTTCCTGTGGAAGACCAAGATAAAACCATTGTAGAAAGGGAGCTTGGGACACATGGGTGGTGGCAGAGAACTGAGGAGTCTTAGCCTCTCTCCCCACCTTGGGATATGTGGATAGAGCTGTGCGTGTACCTGTGCGGCTGGGGAAGTCTCTTGGATTGTGAACCCCCAAAGGGGGTGAGGGAGCCCCAGGTTCCCCAGATACCTGGGGTAAAGTAAAGCTAAGTGCATATCTAGAGGGCTGAGGTGGGGAGTGGAAGGGGTTCTAGGACAGAGAAATTTCAAGGATATGAGATTGAGAATGGAGATTGAGCATGAAGTCCATGAGCAGAGAAGCTTGGTGGAGAGGGATCTTGAGTGAGAAGACTTAAGAAAGTAGGAATTGGGGCAAGTTGAGTGGAGTGGGAAGATCAGGATAAAGTTAGGAGGTTGGAGTCTGGAATCAGGGAGTCAGGGGTTGTAAGATTCAGAACCAGAGGAATCTATAGGGTGAGGTTCAGATTCTAGAATCAGAAGCATTTGGAGGCTAAGTTCTAGAACCAGAAGACTTTGGATCTGAAATCAGAGGCAGTTGGCAGCTGTGAGATCTAGAACCAGAGGTATTTATAGAGTGAGAACCAGAAATAGAAAAAAACTGAAGACCAAGTTCTAGAGGGATTTTGGAGTCATAAGATCTATAATCACGAATAGGGAATTGTAAGGTCTAGAGCCAGAGAAATTTATAAGGCAAGGTCTATAATAAGATGTTTGAAGGATGGGTTCTAAACCCAGGGTAATTTGGAGGGGAAATTAGTGACTGTGTCTAGGACCAAGAGAATTTATGGTATGAAGTCTGGAATCAGATAAATTTAAGGCCAAGTTCTAGAACCAGAGAAAATGGAGATAATCAGATTTAGGAGGAGAGGGCCCTGGAAGTTGCAAAGTCTAGAGGTTGTGTGGTTTAGAACCAGTGAATGATAGAAGTCATGAGGCCTAGAATAAAAAAAACCTGGAGCATGGTGTCTGATTCTGGAGGTACTGGTTATAAGATCAAGACATAAAATTCATTTTACTTCTTTTTGATGGGAAAAGCAAATCTTGAATGTAAAAAGTTGAAAGGAATGAGCTGGGAATCGTAAGATTTAGAAATTAGGAAGTCTGGATTTGGAACCAAATGTGTTACAGATTGGGAAGACTAAAGCCAGTAGAAAGCTTGGGGTTGTGAGGTCCAGAATCAGAGAGAAAAATAAGTTGTAAGATCTGGAAACAGCAGGAATTGGAGAGTGTGACATCTAGAACAAAGGAGTTCACAAGGAGAGGTCTAGAACTAGAGAAAGCCAGAAAGTGAGTTCTAGAACCAGAAGATTCTGATGCTCAGAGGCTCTAGAGCCATAGGAAGTTGGAGGTTGTGAGGTTTAGAACCAGACAACTTTGGAGACCATGGAGTATAAAAATAGAGTTGGAGGTTGTGAGGTCCCGAATGAGAAAGAGCTGAAGATGGTGAGATCTAGAATGAGAGGGGTTTGGAGAATGCTATGTTTACACCAGACCAGGTTGGATGTTGTGCAGTCTAGAAATGGAGAAGGTGGGGAGTTGTGCAGTCCAGAACCAGGAAGGTGGCCTGAAGTTCTGTGATCTAGAACTGAGATAGTTGGAGATTGTATTGTCTGGAAGCAGAGGAAATTGGAGGCTACACCTGGAATAGGAGATCCACAAATGCAGTCAGTGTCCAGGCAAGGCTGGGGCAGCAGAAATCCAGAGTGGAAGGGGTAGGTAGGTAGCCAGAACTGGGCGCTGCTTGGGAGGCTAAGGGCTCAATCAGAAGTCACTGGGTAGCGGGGAGGTCTGGCTCAGAGGCTCCCCTCCCCACTGACACTTGAGTGGGGGTGGGGTAAAGATTGGAGTCCCACATTCTTATGGACTCCAGGCAATTCATAGCAATTAAAAACATATCATCAACACAACAAAAATAAAAATAAGAATAAAAGATAAATGGGAAGAAATATGATTATGGTTATCAATACACCCCAGAGCCTAGAAACACAGATCTGAACCCCAACCTCCCCATCACTAATTACCCAAGATAAAACCAAGAGAGTTGGAGGAAGAGATGAGGTAACCAGTATCAAGAACCCCAAGAAAAGTCCTGAGAGAAGGAGGAGGAGGGGGCCAGGGACCCCCTCCCAGAGGTCACTGAGCTGAGACCACCCCAAGAGCCCCCAGATGGGGGAGGGGCAGAGGGGTGACGACTGAGGTAGGCCCAAGGTGGGCAGGGGCCACTGTGCATTGGCTGCCAGCTTGCAGTATGGTTGAGGTCCTTTCTGGGAAGGAGAGAGATGGGAAGAGGGGCCGGCTCAGTGGGCCTGGGTCAAACTTGTCACTGGCTGGAAGTGGCTCTTGGGTTGGGTGGCATCCTCATGTGGGTAGACACAGAGCAGTGAAGGGCCCAGGCCTGTGGGGAAGAACAGAAGGTAAACCAGTGGGGAATTATCACCCAACCTGCCTGCCCTTCTTGATGGTTAAAAGTGGGTGATGGGCAGGCACACCTGGATTCAAACAGCAGCGACATGTTCTGCTCTCTGAACCCAGGTGTCCAGATGTTTAGGGCAGTAGGTAAGAAGCCTGGAGCCAGACTACCTGAGTTTGAATGCAGGCTCTGCTTTTATTTGCTGTGTGACCTGGGGCAAGTGACTTCACCTTTCTGTATCTCAGTTACCTCATCTGTAAAATGGGCTAATAACAGTGCCTCTCTCCCAGGACTGTTGTGAGGAGTAAATGAATGAATCCATGTAAAGTGCTTTGAACTAGTGCTGTTGCTACCTGGAAAACAAACATACTTACATCTACTTCATTTATAGAGCACCTACTGTGTGCCAGGCACTGGGGACACAGCAGTGAACAGGACAGATGAAATTCCATGACCTTGTGGAGCTGGCATTCCAGTTAGGGGAGTCAATTAGGTCATGAACATAAATTTAGCACAAAGCTTGGCAAAGTGAGAGATAAATGTTAGCTCTTCCTTTACAAACATATACTGAGGATCTGCACTGTGCCCAGCCACTGGCCAGCCTCCTCCCCACCCCCCAAAGCAGAGTACAGCTGTGACCAAGACAGGCCTGGCCCCTGCCTTCACAGGGCTCATGCCCACAGAGAAGACAGACATTTATCAAATAACTATGCAAACACCTATGTAAATATGCTCTGTGACGAGTACTATGAGCTCAGAGCTTAGGAAGTTAGGGAGGGCTTCATGGAAGGAATAATATTGGATCAGAGATCTAAAGGATGCAGTCATTAGGCAAAGAATAAATGGGAAAGTACTGCAGGTACATGGACCAGCATATGCAAAGGCCCTGAGGCAGCCTCCTCAAGCAAGATGATTTCAAAGCCACTGCAATGCCGTACAGAGGCCCTCTGTAATCTGCCCTACACCTCTCTCCCCCCCTCTCTGCTCCAGCACACTGGCCTTATTTTCCCCCAAACAAGACAGACACCCCCACCCCCAGGACTGTAGTCACTGTTCCCTCCACCTGGAGTGCTCTTCCCCCAGAAACTGTCATGGTCCAAATGCCCCCTTCTCAGTGAGACCATGCCTAATCATACTTAAACTAGGAATCCCCCACCCCAGCACCCCTCCCCCTTTGTATGCATTATTTCCTCCAGTAGCACTCTGTCGCCTGCACTCCTTACTGTATTTGTTTCCGTGTCCTCGACAGTCTCCCTCACTAGAATGTCAGCTCTGCAAGGGCAGGGATTTCTGTGTTAGTTCACAGTTGTGTCTCCAGCTCCTAGGACAGTGTCTGCCATTTACCGTGTGTTCTACATATATATTTGTTAATTGTATAAAGGCCAGAATGACTCAGAAGACTGACTGTGGCTGAAACAGAGGATGTGAAGCACAGCGTGGTCTGAGCTGAGGCAGCAGTCAGACCCCAGAGGCTTGAGTCCAAGGAAGAGCTTGATCTCTCTCTGAAGGGCACCAGGGAGCCACGGAAGGATTTTGAGCAGAGACAGGCCAGGGTTAGATTCATGCTTTGAAAAGACCCCTCTGGCTGATGCCTGGAGGTTTCAAGTGGAGCTACAGCTATTGGCAGCTGTGCCGGAAGATGATAGTAACAGAGACAAGAGAGCAGCTTGTCTCACACTCTGCAAGGAGCCGTGGATCCCGCATGACACCAAGGCAGGTGCTTCTACAGCGTTTACTATAAAACAGGTCTCGTGCTAAGCTCTTCCTGAGCAAGTTCTTCACAGGGCCTCAAACACCTCCTTAAGGTAAGTCTGATTACAATAGGTCCTAATTGACGGGGTGGGGGGTCGGGTAGGGGGACTCAGAAGCAAAAACTATTTCCCAAAGTTACACAGCTGGTAATGACCAAGGTGTGACTCAGCCCCAAAGCTTAATCAGATCTAGGCTTGGGGCTGGGCCCAGCTTCCACGTCTCCCTCAGGGCCTCCCCCTGCCCCCCACAGTGCCCCTGAGAGGAGGGAGGGGCTGTACATTTCCACCAAGGTCACCTCTGGGCACTGACAGCTGCCCACCACCTTCTGCGCACCCCTTTCTCAACCATCGGGCACCTCCCAGGGGAGAGCGGGCCCAGGGCCTCTTCATACCTAGACTGCCACTCACCCAGGGGCTCATTCAGTTCCAGGAGGTGGGTGCTGGGATCCTGCTGCCTCACTGGGGCTGGTCCTCCTGTCAGAAGGAAACTCTGCAGGGCAGAGACAAAATCATCGTCATCATCATGATCAATATCCAAGGAGGCAGGATGGTGCAGTGGTTAGGGGTACTGAGGGGTTCGGTGGCTGCTTATCAGCTGTGTGACTTTGGCTAAGACACTGTCCCAGACATCCTCCGCATGTCCCTCCAGAGCCACATTCTCCCCTTCAGCGCCCCAGCAGGCTCTGTGTGTGGACTCCTTTAATGCGCAACCTTGCCGAGTGCTCCTGTTGGGCTCATGTGATGGGAGATGCCAGCAGGTACGAGGAGGGAGAGGAGAGGTGTTAGATCTTCCAGCCTCTGGGTCATCATAGGTTGGCTGTGTCCCTCCACAGAAGGTTTTAGCTCTTACGAGGTAGACCCTCCTTTCTCCAAAATCCAGTGACCATGCCCTGCCCTGTGCCTTCAGGCTAGCGCTGGTGTCTGCTCCCCGCATTGCAGGCCCCCGGGGCATTGCACCAGCCCTTGCTAATCCCTTACATGCTGCACACACCTTTGCCAACAGTCCTGTTATTAAATTTTCCTCAACACCCCCTCTGAGCGTGCTGTTTCCGGCCCAGACTCTGATACAGTTACCTAAACTCTCCTGTGTAAGCGTGGATGATGATGGTGATATTTCAAGAATGGTCCTGGGGATTGAATAATTTAATCATGCAGGGAATTAGCGCAGTCAGTGTCTGGCACATGGTAGGCCCTCATAAATGTAAGCTATTGATATTATCAATCACACTCCTCATGTTCAAATATGTTGGGTGAGGAGCCAGAGAGCTCCTCTATGGGCAATAAGGAACCACGGAAGGTCCTGGAGGGAGGCCTGTGGAAGTCGCACAGTCTAGGCTGGCTTTTAGAAAGGGTGTTCTGGCTGCTATTGTGCAGAATTGACAACTGGGGCAAGACTAGGGGCGGGAGGCTGTGGGGGAAGGGATGCTGCTCTAGTTTGGTTTGTTTTTATACCTCATTTATCTACAGCCCGCTGAGGATCAGCAAAGGGCCTGATTTCATTTGCTTCTCATGGCAGTCACGTGAGACATAACTATCCCACTTTCCAGATGAAGAAACTGAGGCTCAGAGTGGTGACATCACCTGCCCAAAGTCACAGTTACTAGGTGGCCAACCTTGGACTTGAACCCAAGTCAATCTGACTCTAGTATCTGTACTCTTAACACTACACTAATTATCCAAGGCCAAGACCTGTTCTAGGTTTGGAAGGGGGCCCACGGGAGCAGATCCTAACCCTTGTCATTTCTCCCCTTCCCCAGCTTAAATTTCTTCTTCGACTTCCCACCAACTTACATACATTCCCAAAGCCCTTACACACCTTTTACCTGAGCTAGAATATCAAGGTCCTAGCTTCGGCTGGATTACTGACCTTCCATCTGACCGTCAGCCATCCCCTGTCCCCTCTGGTTTTCCCATCCATTAAACAGTGAGCTTAAGTCTGCTGGGTTCTGAGGGTCAGAGAACCCCACAAGTCTCCACACGTACCAGGCTGAGAGGAGGCAGTAGGAAGCTTGTGGGTCTTGGGCTAGGGGGCCGTTTGGGGGGTCTCATCCCCAGTAGCTCCACCCCCTCAGACTCATCCTCAGATCTCTGGGCCAGGGTCCTGGAGGAAAACAGACAAGAACCTCAGAACACAGCAAATGTGGGCAGGTGTGGGCACCAGTGTGAATAGCTGATGAGCAGTCATTCACTCCCCCAAGCATCTAGATACCGACTCATCTATCCACCAGTCCATCCATCCATCCATCCATCCATCCATCCATCCATCCACCCAACAATCTGTCTTCCCTTCATCTATCCAATGATCCATCACCCACCTGCCATCCATCTATCATCTGTCCACCCCTCCACCTACTATATTCATTAGTTTCCTCCCTCTCTCATTTAACAAGTCTTTACTGGGCACCCACTCTATACCCAGCACCAAGCTGGGAGCCTTGGAGAATACAGAGATGTCTGCATAAAAGCCTCACACGGACAGTAAAGAGATCACTCTGAATAGGCACGTGCCCACAAGTTGGAGAGCAAAAACTTAAGTATTAGGAATCTAACATCTTTGGAAGAGGGACACGGGCCATCGGAAAATACATGCAAAATGTGTGTTTCTATGTGTGTGTAAGTTTTCTTGGGAAAGGATCCATAGCTTTCAACAGATTCTCAAAGGTATTAGGAAACTTAGCTCTAGACAGTTTCTCTGATATTATGGCAATGTCCTCTTAACTATGACCAAAACTGTCGCTAGGCCAGATATAAATAGTTCCAAAGCAGAGGGCCCCGGTTGGTGGGATTTGATTAAACAGTGAGAACAGTGAAGGGCACTCCAGAAGGAGGCATGGCTTAGGCACAGACATAGAGGTTGGAACAAACATGCCATGTGGGGGACACTGAGGGTACAGCTAGGACAGCAGTCAGTGTGAGAGGGATGGTGAGAATGAGGCTGGAATGGGAGGCAAGAGCAAGACAGGGGGTGAGGGACCCTCTCCACACTCCCTTGATACCCTTCCCTTACTGTGGCTCACCGCTTCCGAGCCCCAGCCATGGATGGGGCTGAGGTGTCCCTTCTGGAAGGGCTGGAGCTGCTCAGCCGGGGGTCACTACCCCAGCGGGGCATAAGGGAGGGCTCAGGAGTTGGGGGCGACAGGCCATGGAAGCTCCGAGCGCGGGGCCTGGGGACAGCCCCCAGAGGTCTGTGGTAGGCCCTGGGTAGGTGCTCGCTGGAGTTCAGCTGGAAGTCATCATCCATAGAGATGTAGGGGGCCAGCATCTCCAAATCCAGGGCATCGACATCCTGCAGAGGGCAGGAGGGAATTAACGTGAAAGTCTTGAGAATTCTCAATCTCTCTGTGTACTGAAGAATTAACCCTACCCCAAAAGAAGTTTGGCCTTTGACCTGGCTCCTGGGAGGTACCACCTAAACCAATGGAATTTCCTGAGTGATAGTGTGTCTTTGCTGTTCACCAAAGATCTATAAGCAGGAAGCCAGTTGTGAAAACCACTCAGCTGCGAACACATGTTGCATTTTATGAAAAAGGAAAGATGGCGAGAGTGAGGAACCAAGGGCCCAGAGGACAGAGCCAAGAACCATGGAGAAAAACTCCTGGGAAGTAGTAGAAATGAGTTCTGATCAAGGAACTTCCAGTATTTTCTCAACTGGATTTCAAAACTGCTGTGGACCAGTGACACACGTGTGTCCTCTTTTCACCTTTTTTGAATAGGAGTACATACAGCAGTTATTCTATGCCTCTCCCATGCTGTATGTTGGGTATGTGGGTGGCAGATAATTTGTTTCTTCAGTACACAAGCCAACAGATTGAGATGGACTGTACTTGAAGAGCTTCACTGCACCCAGACCTGATTTAGGTGACCAGATTCTGGAATTCAAGCTGATGCTGTAATAGTGCTGAGTATTTGGATAATTTGTTATACAGCAATAGGTAATTAACACATCATGCCACTGTCATTTATCTATACACTCAATCAATAATTCAAACGTTATCCATTCTTATATGACCCATCCAATGGACCAATGGTCTATCTATCCAACTACCCATCCGAACATCCCATCCATCCTTCCATCCATCCAAATATCTATCTAAATGTCACCCACCCATCTATCCATCCATGTAATGAATACAATGGTCCATCTATCTGTCCATTCACTCATTCCTTTAAACATCCCCCTACGTTTCACTAAAGCCCAGATATGTAGCCCCCATGCAGCAGTTACCTGAGCTATATCTAGATCTGTCTCCACTGCCTCAAGGTCTTTCCCAGAAGCCAAGACTTTGTGTGCATTCTCCATGTTCACAAGTAGCTCATCTGGGAGATCAGCCTGTGAGGAGACAGAGTAGAGGCTTAAGGAAATCTTGAACCTGGGAGATGTCAACAGTAAGACAGTCTAGACATTTGAGCTCAGGAGTAGAGGTGAGGGTCAAATGTCAAACAGCTGGACACCAATGGGGTCAAATAGCAAATGCAAATGAGTTCTGAACTTGTGTTCAAAGAGTGCCAGGGTATAGAGCGACAGGAAAAAACATCAAAGGTTTGAAAGACCAGAGCTTGAGGCCAAGACATTCAGGCCCTCTGGGGTTAAAGGTCTTGGCGTCTGGGGAAAAACCATGCAGAGTCCAGATATCCCAGGAGTAAAGGGTGAGGTCAAAGGTCACAGCCTAGTTCTCTGGTGGAGAGAAGATATTGGAGGGGGGCATAGGGTCTGGATGAGGAAAGTCAATACCAGATAATATGGACCCTTGAGTCAAGGGTCAGACTATCTGGACTCTTATGTAAAAATAGTAACCGCTACGGTCTATTGAGCACCCACTATGTGTCAGGCTCCTACTAAGGTCTTCTTGTGAACAATCTCATTGAACCCTCACAATAACCAATGAGGTGGCTATTTGCTATTATCCTAACTTTATAGGTGAAGAAACTGAGGCCACACTTGTCCAGGATAACACAGCTAGTAAGTGGCAGAGTCAGGATATGAATGCAGGTTTGTGTAATTTAAGGCATTAGATGTTCTTGACTCTTTAAGGTCAGAGTTCAGAGTCTGGGTGCTTGGTCACAAGCCAGGAGGGGGTCACCCATGCCAATCTCAAACACCCCAGGTTTTGGTCCAGATAACAGTTGAACAATCTGGAATCTAAGTCTTAAAGGAACTCCAGGCCGCGACTCATCCCAACCTTTCCACTACATAGATGGAGTAACTGAGGCCCAGAGAACAGCAAGAGTCAAGCCAAAGGGCGAAGCAGCCTGGATCCTGAGGGCTCCAGTGTGAGGGACTGCTTACCGGAAGGGGGCTCTGGGGGCGCCTTGTGGCTGGGGGTGCGCTGGGGGTGGCAGCTACTGAAGTCCCATCTAGGATAGGTGCCAGGAGGCGACGGAGGTCAGGACTACAGAAACGGCGGGGGTCAGCGGCCAGGGTGGCCTCGCTCAGGGCAGGGGGGTGTAGGAAGGCCAGGATCCTGGGAACAGAGACATCTGCAGGACACATGGAGATGGGGAGGACACAGGCTGGTCACCCAGGGCTGAGGGGCAGAGCCCTGCACGCCAATCCCAGGGTGGGCATCTTCCATAGCCAGTCAGGGTGGGCACCATTCACAGCGTTGGGGAGAACCTGGAGAACCCCAGCTGTGCCAGGTGCCATCCTGGAGGGTCCTATGGGAAGGGACAACATGGGGAGGGGAGCACACAGTAGGATTGAGACAGTAGCAGTTGCCCAGTGGTGGGGAAATATTTTAATATTTAAAATCGACATGGCTGGACCAGGGCACATGACTGACCCTATTGTCCAGCAGCACAGAACAGCATCCAGCCATTTGGCTCTGGGGGGAAAAGACTGGCCCATGGCCCTCAAAGAGGTTCTAAAGTCCCTGCAGGTCAAGACATGGCCCAAGCTGGTTCTGAACCAGAAAAGGAAAGGATACTGTTAACCCCACACCATACCCAGGAACATAGCCAGCAACAGCTCGGAGAAGGTGAGGCTTTGAAGAGCAGTGAGGGAAGCTTGTCCAGGACTGGGGGACATGGGGTGGGGAGAAGTAAGAGGCAGAAAGGAACTGGATCTGGGAGGGTCAAGATTACTGGAAGCCAAAGAGCAGTGAGGCAGGAGGAGGGAGCAAACTGAAGGGTGGGGCAATGGGGAGCCACAGAAGGATTCAGAGCAGAGAGCAAGACTAAAGCAATCATCCCAGAGACACAGGAAAAGAGGGAGCACAGAAGAGAGGAGAGCTTTCTGGGCAGAGGAAATTGCATGTGCAAAGGCCCTGAGGCATGAAGGTGGCACGTTCCAAGAGCACCAAGGAAGCTGGTGTGGCTCAGAGTGATTCAGAAAAGGAAGGAGGCAGGAGGCAGGTCATGGAGGGTGAGCCACGTTAAGGCACTGGGCTTTCCTTTAAGCATCCTGGGGACACAACCCCTCCCGACCCCAGCCCTGCCCCATACCAAGTCTGTCCCCAGGATTAGGGGTGTCCTTCTGAGAGGGGGTGGCCCGCTGAACGGGTCTGCGAGAGTGTCGCTCCGTTTGCTCCAGGGACAGCACCACTCCAGTCTCTTCCACCCGGCTGGGGTACAGGGCAGAAAGAGGAGTGGGAGTCAGGAAGGGTCCTTGGCCCTGGCCCTGGCCCAGGCAGCCCCCTCAGATGATGTCCTGTCCTAGGGGGCAATCCCATCCAGGGCCAGCAGGACACCGTGCAGAAAATAATTTGCCACGTTTACTTGTTTCTTTTAAGGATTTAATTTTTCTTGAATGCTTTTGATTAGAATAGCATTTAAAAGAAAGTTAAGTGTGTCTTCCCAAGCTCCCTCTGTGGAAGGAAAGACAGAAAAAAGAGTTGGCGTTTAGCACAGCTTGGGTGGAGAGGGGAGGCTGAGGGGTGGGGAGCTCAGGGGCAGAGTGGGGAGAGTAAAAGGTGTGAAAACAAAATATTCTCTTTATAGATACTCATAAATATTCATAAAAATGTATTAATAAAGAATATATATTTAACATTCCTATGTTACCAAATATGAACTCATAGGGATATGTTTTAACGAATAACATTTTATTTATGAAGATTCTATTCATAGACATTCAAGGGAATGGGTCTATAAATACATCCTTCCTGCGTCCCCCGCCTCCCCTCCCGAAGTCTCTGGCTATAGAGACAACCCAAACGTTCCTGAGCCAACTGGCTTTTGGAGAATTGGTCTGGGACTGAGGACCAGGCCCTCATTTGCATCTCATTTGCGTAACACCCTCCAGGACAGAATGTGGGTGGTCCTCCTGCCAGCTATGATCCTTTCCCACCCTTACCAAACCCCCTTTGGGCTGGAAACTTCCCAATTTAGGCTGGACCAAAGCCACCCGATCCCCTTTGAAAAACACAGGCATACACAGTACGCATGCACACACACTCGGTGCACAACGCACAGACGGCAACACTCATGTATGCCCGTGAACATGCGGGACACAGAAGTGCACGTGCAGGGACTCGGCTGGCGCGTGGAGTTCACTAGTTCATTCATTCCACAGACATTTTCTAGTTAAGAGCAAGGGCTCTGCAGCCAGTGTGGCCCGGGTGCAAATCCCAGCTCTGCCACTTATGAGCTGTGTGACCTTGAGCATGTGGCTAAACCTCTCTGGGCCTCAGTTTTTTCCTTTGTAAAGAAAGAATAATAATAGTACCTCCTCCTCAGGTTGCCATGAGGTTTAATGAGTTAATATATGTACAAGGGGAGGGGAGTAGACTCTACAAAGTATAAGCACCTAAACACACACCAAGAGCCCCACAGCCCCACACTGCACAATATGTACACAGCACTATGGATGATTAAGACCATATGCTCCTCCATTCACTGTTACTAAGCAACTCCTATCGTTCCTCACCCATTTTCTGCCAGTAAAGCTGAAATCTACTCCTTGCTTAGAGTACAAAGAATTACTGGACATAAAAAGGCAAATCTTCACAATGAATAAACGTAGTTTCTGGAAGAGACGGAGGCAGGCGCCCTCACTTCCATTGTCTAAAAGTTATTCAAAGATTCTGATTCGAAAAGGTGTTGAAGTGAGAACATTCAAAAGGTGATCGATTTGGTCTTTTGTGCAATATCAAGACGTGTGCAAATACTCCTGTTACCAATTTCTATTTTCTAATAGAATCTCTCCTTGGACAAAAAGATCTGGGAAAATTCCTGGCTTTAGAAATTGGTGCCATGTCCTAGAAGGTAATCGCCAAAGAAAAGCTGTCACTCTCTCTGTCTTATGGGATAATTTGTTGTCTTTGTCACCATGTTGTTACAGAGGGTGGTGGGAGCCTATGGTTTAACATTACACTTCCATTAGAACGGCTAAAATTAAAACCAAACAAGCCCTGGCCAGGGTGGCTCGGTTGGGTGCCGTCCCGTGCACCGAGAGGTTGCCAGTTAGATTCCTGGTCAGGGCACAGGCCTGGGTTTCGGGATCAGTCCCTGGTCAGGGTGTGTCTGGGAGGCAACCAATCCATGTTTCTCTCTCCCTCTCCCTTCCTGTTTCTCTCTCAAATCAATAAAAACATATTTAAAAAGTAAATAAATAAAACTAAATAAGACAAAAAGAGACAGTACAACCTGCTGTCAAGGATAAAGCCGGAACCCTCAGACACTGCTGAAAAAGAGCTGGGTGGTTTCTTAGGAGGTTAAATATACACTGACCACACGGCTCATTCATTCACTCCTAGGTGTTTACCGAAGAGAAATGAAAACACAGTCTTCCCAAAGTCTTGTGTGAGGACGTTTACAGTAGCTTTTCTGGTCATCACCCAAAATAGGAAACAGCCAGTGTCCTCCAACTGGTGAACGGATAAACAAACTGGGGTCCATTGGGAACCAAGCTGCAGAATACGACTCAGCATTTGCAAGGGGCTAGTCATACAGCCACAACGGAAACCGTAAATACGTTACGCTAAGTCAGGAAGCCAGGCGCCAAAGGCTACTGCACAATTCCACGTACACGACATTCGGCAAGGCAACACTGTAGGGTCAGATTACAGGGCAGTGGTTGCCAGGGCTTAGGGGTGGGGTTTACTATGAATTTTTGGGGGTGAAGATTGTGGTAATGGTTACACAATTCCATGCATTTGTCAAAACTCATAGACCCATTTTCCAAAAAGAATGCATGTTCTAAGTGTAAATGGCACCTCAATTTTTTAAAAAATCAAAACAAGTCCCCATAAATCTGCTAGATTTCCTATTTTAACTTGAATATACGTAGTCCTTCTAATTTAAATGAACAGCATACATACTGATGACATTCGTATGCACACATGTGTGTTCAGTCACACATGTTCCACATGGATATATGTACATACTCTCACCCATGTGTGCACAATATACATCTGTACTTGTGCATGCACACGTGCGCGCACACACACACACACACCTGTCCACACACATGCTGACCAGACCCGGGTACAGTCACCGCAGCCCCTCCCGCTCACCTGATCAGGAAGTGGACGCAGACGATACTCTCAGCCTGGGGGCCCCGGCCCCCTGACACCACTGTGGCCTGGGTCTGGGTCCACAGGTAGCCACCACTCCGCGCCAGGAAGCGATACCGCCCCGTCACCGCCTGTCCCTTGCTCAGCACTGGGGAGGGGGACGGCGAGGGCTCAGGACCACAGAAGGGGCAGCTGGGGAGAGAAGGCTCCGGGGGCAGGGGGTTAGGTGTGAAGGGGCCGGGGAAGGTGGGGTCCTTGGGGGTCTGGGAGCAGGGAGCTAGCTGGTGGGCAGGCTCGGGCGGGGAGGCAGCTGGGACACATACGGGTGTGGATGCTCTGGCCAACCGCGTCCGAGTCCAGCGCGTGGATGTACTCATAGGCCGAACAGCCAATCAGGTCGTCGGGGCTGTAGCCGGCGACATCGGCAATCCTGGGCGGGGACAGTGGAGCCTGGTCAGCTCAACCCGAGGAGGCGAGGGTGGGTGGAGGGAAGGGGCAGGGGGACCCAGGGACCAAGCCGGCAAGACAGACGGGGCAGGGTTGTAAAGGAGAGAAAGGGAGAGAGTAAGAAACAGAAAAAGAGTGTGGCAGGCTGCCCGTCCTAGTTCCTGAACCTGCGACACGGCAAAAGGGACTTTGCAGGTGTGAAGCGAAGGGTCTTGAGATGGGGAGATTACCCCGGGCTATCTGGGTGGACCTGACACGGTCACAGGGGGCCTTAGAGGAGGGAGGCAGGAGATCGGCCTGAGAACGGGAGATGTGAAGGTGGAGGGAGTCTGCTTTGAGGATGGAGAAAGGGGCCACGAGCCAAGGAGGACAGGGCGTCTTCAGAAACTGGAAAAGGCGAGGAGGCAGACTCCCCCGGAGCCTCTAGTAGGAAGGCGGCCCTTGATTTTAGCTCCACGAGACTCAGTTCCGACTCCTCATCTCAGAACTCGAGAGAAGGGATGTGTGTTGTTTGGAGACACTGTGTTCACGGTGCTGTTACAGCAGCCACAGGGAACTGATACAAAGGGGGGGAGAGAGGGTGGAAATGGGAAGAGCGAAGAAAAGACGGGGGGTGGGGGAAGAACGTGAAAGGAATAGGAGGGGGAAGAGCAGGGACAAAAGGAAATCACAAGAAGAAAGATCAGAAAGAGAGAAGACATAAAAAGTAAGAATGATGTTAATGATTTTTTTAAAAATACATATGTCTGTGGTGCTTTGTACCAGGCAACTCCCTGAGTGCTCAGAACACCTGCTCACAGCGGGCTGTCATCACCCCGCAGGACACAGAGAGAGAAACGGAGAGAGAGGGGAAGAGAGAGAGTCCAAGATAAAAAGCCCCACAGAAAATTCAGTAACTTGGGAGGAAAGGAAGAGCGGGGCCCCTGCCCACCTCTCGTCGCAGTAGGTGAACTTCATGTCCAGGCTGTGGCGGCTGAGGAAGGCGCCCCGGCCCAGAGGGGGCTCCAGGCTGTCCGGGTGGGGGATGGCTTCACAGATGAGCACCAGGCACTGCAGGGGGGGCTCTAAGTTGGGGCTTCCGGCTGGGGAAGTCTGTGCGGGGGGCTTGTAGACCCTCATGTGTCCAGAGCAGTGTAGCACCTGATGGAGGAAGGGCAGGGCGTGATGGAGGAGGGGCGGGCCTGGGGAAACCATGGGGCTGCCAGGGCGGTCTCCGTGGGCCCCACAGGGAGCTGAGATGAAGAAATCTCTGAGGACTGCAGGGACCCAGCTCAGAGAGCTCTGAGGACCCCCAGCCCAACCCCAAAGAGACCCAACCTAAGGAGGTTCTGAGATCTCCAGATTTTAAGACTCTGGGAAGTCTGAGGACCCCAGATTTCAACCCCAGGGAGACTCTAGGCCCAGGAGGCTGGGACCCCACAGGCCCACAGAGATCTGGGCTAAGAAAGGATACAAGGACTCCCAGCCCCCCATCTCCACAGACACCCAACCTCCTAGGGACCCAAGGGACCCACCAGACCCACCCTGAGAAAGCCCCACAGGATCCCCACCCTAGGAGACCTCTGGACTCCAACCCATAGCAAGAATTTTCAGGCTCAGGCCCCCCTCCAGGCCAGGCCCTGCCCACCTTCCAGGTGGCCGCCTTGAGGTTGAGGGTGCGCCCCCGGCTGGTGAGAGTGCTCTTCATACGCAGGGAGAAGCACCGCTCAGTGGGGGCCTCCGGCTTTCTTTTGGACAAGCCTGGGGAGGGCCAGGGGTGGGCGGGGGGAGAAGCAGGTCACCAGGCAGCTTGGGATGGGGCCCAGTTCCCTCCAGCATCCCGGTTACTAACATCTCCCCAGCCTCATCCCCAGAATTGAGACCTGGACCCAGAGAGGCTCTCCCATGGGGCAGGGGATGCTCCTGCAGACACCCCTGGGCAGGGCCGCAGCCTTCTCTTCCCATTGTTTTCAATCCAATATTCCAGAGGAAGGTGGGCTATGCTGAGGGCAGGGTAAAGCCTCGGTTTTGGTAATTTGGGGACAGGGGCATCCAGGGAACTCACTCTGCCAGGGGGTCAGGGCATCCTGAAGCTCCTCTTGGTCACAGGGATGGATGAAATCAAAGATGCTGTGTCCAATGAGCTCAAGCTGTGAGGGAGGGAAGCAGGGGGTGTCTTGGAGGGAAAGCATTTGACCAAGGCCTCTGGTCCATCTCCTCCATCCCAGCTTCATCACCCAGCCCTAATTCAGGAGCCTTGGTTGTTACCAGTCTCCCCATTCATTCATTCATTCATTCATTCATTCATTCATTCATTCCTTTCTCCAGCATACTAGTTAGCAGGCCCTTGTCCAGATAGTATGGGCACAGCAGTGACCACAAGACAAAGCCCCTGTCTCTCAGAGCTTACTGGTTAGTGAGGGAAGGTGGCCAGTAAACAAAACAAAACAAAACAAAACAAAACAAAACAAAACAAAACAAAACAAAACACATATTTATAAAATAATATAGTAACATGTATGAAGAAAACTAAAGCAGGGTAAGGTGGTGCAATGAAGGGATGCTATTTTAGAGGCAGTGGTCAGGGACAGTTTCTTTGAGGAGGTGACATTTAAACAAATTGTTGAACAAAGCTAGTGAGGTAGAAGTGTGGCTCTCTGGAGTAAAGTGTTCTGGGAAGCAGAACAGCAAGTGCAAAGGCCCTGAGGTGATACCCCATTCAAAGCCCACAAGCCAAAGACTCAACTCCTTTTTTCAGTTCAGGCAATGAGCCTGGTACTGGCAGGAGGGGGCACAGATGAAAGGGGACCCACATAGCTCACAGTCCAGTGGTGATGGTGAACAGGGGAAGGGTGAGATCTCCCTCCTCTGACAGCACCCCTTGTTGCTAGATTCAAATCCTGACTCTGCCACTTTGTAACTTTGGGACCTTGGGACATTCACCTCTCTGAGTCCAAGAGCTCAAGCTGAAGGACAAATTGGTACCCAGAGTGGAGTAACGAGGCAGGGAAAAGGAACAGAGGTCAACTTGGACCCCATTTATGTGAACTGGGAAAAATAATGGTAACTCTCTCATGGGGCTTGCTATAAGGATTAGCTGAAATTAGTTCTACTCTCTACATGTCTCTTATTTGTCTTCCCTACTCCAACTCTTCTTCTGCCACCTGAGGCCCTGCATCCATCTCCTTGAGGATCTCCCAGCCTCTAGTTTTCACTCCCTTTAATTCTATCTCTGTGCAGCACTTAGAGGGATTTTTCTAAATGTAAATCTGATCTTCTCTCTCCAACACAACCTCTCTTTTGCTTAAAATCCTTCCATGGCTTTCCAGTGCCCTAGAGATAGACCTTCTAATTTGGCCCTAATTCTCTAGCCCCTGCTGGCCTCTCTAGCTTTTTTTCTCTCACCTTCTCCCATTGTACTCTGCACCCAACCAGGATAAATGTCTTTATTTTCCCAAAATGCTGTTTTACCTCACCTCTGGGTCTTTGGATATTCTGTTCCCGCAGTTATCTACATTCCTAGTCTTTGCTGGTCCCATCCATTCTCCATACCTTTTGGCTGGCTAAGCCCTTCAGGTTTCAGCTTAGATGTCTTCTCCTCCTGGAAACCTTCAATTCCCCCCCAGGTTGGGCCACCCTCCCCGGGCTTGCGCAGCCCCCTAGGCTGCCCCATCCCAGCCCTGAGCCCTCTGTGTCTTCCTGTCTGGCAACACACCTGGGGCCCTCTGTACCGTGAACCCCGTAAAGGCAGGGCTAAGGCGGTCCTGGTCACCTCTGTATCCCAGCATCACCCGCACAGACCAGGCACAAAGCAGGCAGCTCTTCTCACCTGACTAAGGCCCAGGTGCTTGCTGACATTCTCCGACAGGTAAGCCATGTCTCCCTCGGCGGTGAGCACCATCACGAAACCCTCCAGGGCCTTCAGGTAGCAGGCATCCAGTTGTTCGCCCCCTGTTCCCACCTGGTTCCACTCCCCTGGTGTCCAGGCCAGCGAGGGTGGGGCATCTCTAGTCAGCCATGGCCCCACTGGCTGGCTCCCTTTGGCCTTCCCTCACTCAGAGGAAATTATAGGTACCCCAGGTGAGGGGGATACGTCCTAGTGCCTTGGAATCCCCGGAAGAGGGCAGGGCCACCAAGGATTGGAATTCTGAGGGAGGAGGGCCTCCCAGGGCCACAGAATTCTAAGGTGGAAGGGGTCTCCCAAGGGACTTGAACTCTTAGGACAGAATTCTAAGGAGATGAAATTCTGCAGTGGTCAAAATTCTAAGGGGCCAGGGCTTAGGGGCAGTCAGCATTCTAAGGGGGCCAAGCCTCCCAGGGGTTCCGAATTCTTGGTCAGGACCTTCCAGATGGGCAGAATTCTAAAGAAACAGAGCCCCAGGTGACAGAATTCTAAGGGGCAGAGCCTCCCAGAGAAGTAAAATTCTTTGGGACTGGGCAGTTTAAGGAGCAGAGCCAGAGAGAGGATGACTCCACTTTGCATATAATACAATCTTTTCAAGGGTCCTAGGATTCCAAGGGGTGTGTGTGTGTAAGCCTCCTGCAGGGTGGGATTCTGCGTGGGAATTCAAAGGGATGGCTACTTAAGGGGACAAGAAATAGAGCTAGGGAGCTGGGCAGGGGCAGGGGGACTTTCTCAAGTAATTAAAAATTGGGCAGAGAAGCCTCCCGGTGATATTTATCACGAGGGGAGGAGGCCTGGCCGAGAAGCTCTCCCGCGGGACCACATGCTAAGCGTGGAGGCGCTTTAGGGGGAGCCGGCCTCCTACTCCACAGAGCTCTAGGGAGGCGAAGCTTCCCCGGGGTGCGCTCCAAGGGGCGGGCCCTCACCTGGGAAGGGGGTTCCGGGGGCGCCGGGGCTCCGCGGGGAAGCCGGCAGGGGCGGGGCCTTGTCGGGACCCGGATTCCCGGGGGCGGGGCCTCCCT